GGAGAAAAACAACATGCAAAAGAAGAAATACTTCACTAGTAATTTACAACACACCAGATCAGTTGCACCTCGCTTGAAAACCATAAAACCCGATGTGCTTTGGCTCAGGTTCACAAAAAGAAATGGCAAATGTAGGAAATCTGTCATAGAAACAACATTAAAACCCTAAAGCAGCAGCTGACAACCCACGCTGATGGCCATGTGCGAAAGGCTCCCAATTAATTTGTCGGTGGGACCCTTGTCTCGTCGGTGCAGCAGTCTCCCACAGTCTGGACTTTAGTTGAAAACATCAACATTGCCACTTGTTCATAGAGAAACAAAGGCTGCAACTGTGAGCCTCATATATGCAAAATTTAATTTAAAGGCCGTAACTACAGTCTACAAAACATGAAATCTGTTTAAAGCCTACCAGTTTGAGTTGTTAATTTTAAGCACAAAGGTAACATACCTGTCACATGTCTTCATACCAGCATACATCACAAACCAGGAAGTGGTAGGACCCCAGACAACAAGAGCTGGCTGTGACTATGACTGTGTTCATATGTCCTGTTATGTGGGTGGAGAGTTACATCAACCACTGGTTACACCTGCCCTCCTCAACAGTCCCTGGGGGCTACACATAGCGTGAACATGGAAGCTGTTGGTTATGCGACAGTTTTGCTTCATCACCAAACATGTCTTTGTACAGATTCACATTGAGTTTGAATACAATGGGATCATCTTCATGAAGATCAAAACTGTCAGATTAAAATAGTTAGGGCTCAGGGTCGATTCTGGAGACCTGTGTGACACACGGTCACCGGTTCGTCCTCAGAGGTTCATGTTTGGATGCTGTTTTGGATTGTTTGTGGTGTGGATATGCTGTTTGGATAGCGTGTGGATGGAGTCTGGTTGCTGGTGTCAGCGTGGCTCTAATCAGCTGTTGGCAGGCGGATGAGCGGGCGGTCTCTCCCCGCGGCGGCACCCAGGGTCGAAAGCCGGTTTGAAGTTTAATGATGCCAGCTGCCAGCTCCACCAGGCTGTGTGCGCTAACGAGCTGGCACTGGCGGCGGACTAGGCCACGGTGGTAGCACCTGGAAATGTAGCACACGTTTCAGAGGGGCGGGGCTCCACCGGGGCTGTTGAGGGGCCTGCTTGAGACCCAGGACGGCACCCAGAGGCCCGTATCTCTTTGAAGAGCGCCCCAATTTCCATATTTCATTACACACTGCTGACTGACAAGGCCCAGCCAGATGTTCTATTTTCAGCTATTTAAATTTTGACCTGCTTTCCTACCATGGATGCAGAAAAAACAAAACAGATTTCATCTAAACACAGATGCCAATGATGATGGGAACTTGCATCGGGCGTGTCTTACAGTTTTTGTGACCATTCTTCATGTCTATCCATCCCAAGGAGAATAACCACACATTAGATGTTGCTCTTTAGCTTACAAATCCCTTTTCATTTGGTTGACAATCTATCCTGAAGCATCCGCTGTCTTGATCAAGGACACTTTAACAAGAGACACACTGTTGTTTTTAGGGATCAAACCTGAGACCTTGTATTTATGAGACAATCTCTAACCATCCAGCCTGCCCAGCGCTATATTGGCTCCAAAGTGAGTGATGCGTGTTCTGAAACACCACATAAAGCATGCTCGCACAGCTCCTCTGTCCCTGAGATATCGGGGATGATTAATTCCTGTGGTATTCCTGTTGAAATGGCTGTTAGATTGCAGTGGCCTTACTCAATCCCTCATGCAAAAATACATCAACAACCCTGACCTTTTTTGTGCGTCTGCTGCAAATGGCACTTTGTCATCCTGTGTGAGCAAGCTCAAGGATCAATGTGATTTTGTTGGAATAAAACTTCTACGACACGGAAGAAAAAGAAGGAGTGTGTGTGTCCGTGTCTGGGCTTCGCGAAATTGAAAAACTCTTGAAAGAGAAGTAATGACGAAAGAGGGGAAAAAAACAAAGGACGAAGCAGCGGCAAAGCACAGCGAGTACGAGTGGAGAAATGAGAGACGCTCTCTCTGCGAGAATCAGAGGGAGAAAGGTTTTCACTCATTACTCCACACAGCTCACAGCAGGGGAGGGAAAGCAGTTCCCTCCGTAATGCATCCGAGTTTGCATGTCTATGACTCAGGGAAAACAGAGAGGTAATTGAGAGGAAACTAAGGCATCACAGAGGCAATATTGACACCAATATCAAAGTGGATGAAAGCGAGAACTGTTTTTCTTCTTTTCTGCTTGGTTCAGAATACCAGTAAGTTAATAAACTGAAGAGGTTGTGTTGACTTGTGGCCATGTTGTTGGACTGTTCTATACTCTATGTCTAATTGAGACAGCACATGCTTTTGCATCTGCAGATCTGAAGTTCAGAGAGAGTCGACACAGGAGTTAGAAAGATAATCACCATCTTTTCGTGTTTTGAGCTGGAAAGTGGAGGAGATATCACTAACGGCCCAGACTTTATGATAAAACGATGCCCAGTGTTTTGTGTACAGCACCAAACAGCAGACGGACAAAGTCAGCAACTAGCTGGTGAACACAGTGGAGCATTTTATCACTAAAGAGGCAGATATTATGAGCGTGTGGAGAGCCAAACGGAACGAAATAAAAAGTGAATATTGGACTCACCGGATGGTCAGAAACATGACTCATCATCATTGATCATGTTGCCTCCGTATCTGTTGGATGCCTAATTGGGCAACTATTTGCTAACACATTGACCGCAACAATATTACAAGGTGATAATATGTGAGTTTTGTTGCAGATTGTTGTGCTGCCTCCAAGTGGGCGAGAACAATAATAGATTTAGGTTTAAAGCAGCAAAACTTAAGCAGAAATGAGTATAAAGTCAGTGACATCACTTAGTTTAGTGGGTGAAAAAAATAAACGATAAAAAGCAGTAATTTCAGTGAGCTAAATGTCATCCGCATTTCTGCATAATCTCCACAGCTGAACTTTAATGATCAGAGTGATACAACGCAGGAGTTTGTGCACTTCGACATAGAAGAGGAAATCTGAACTGCCATATTATGCATGGCCATTCCAGTAAAACAACTTGAATTATATAATATGGCTTTTTATAAGCGAACAATATTACCGAGCAACCAAGACATCTGTGCATGTGTGGGTGTGAGATGACACAAGTGTATTTATCCCTCCTGCTCTTGCACACACTTTCAAACACACAGTCCCTGTGAAAATGCTTCAGTAAGGACTTTTGTTCGAATGAATGGTGCAGGATCCGCTGCACTCCCCCCATTTCTAGACTGCCTGATCTTTGGCATGACCTTTAGAAGACAATTTGCAGCAGCAATCGCCTTGCGCCTCGCCTCACATTATTTTCCCTCATTATTTTTTCAATGTTGCCATTGTAGCGTGGCAGAAAAAAGGCCGGATTCAACGGAGGGGTCAGGGGTCAGGGGGGTGGGGGGGGGGGGGAGAAGGGTAAAGATGCGGGGCAGATTGGCTCTACAGTTTTGTTCAGCCGGTGTCCTCGGAGAATTCATCACCACGAAGCCATTTGAACTCTGAACCCTCTGGCTGGCTGTCAAAAGCTGACCCTCAGTGTTGACGACGGACTGTAGAAAAACTCCTCAGCCGGCAGCAATGGGCCGGACAATGGCTGCTGAGTTTTAATGTCGGGCAACAAAACTTGGAACTTGAGAACGTAAACAATCTATGTTCTCTGTACTGCGTCACCATCCTGAATCGACATCTTAGGTCTGCTGTAAAAACAAATAAATGCGGTCTCCATGAATTATTAGATCTGAAGGATTGATACAAAATGTTCTACAGACATTCCAGGATGAATACTGCTAACTTTGATGATCGTCATACTTTTCCTCTGACATCACGATTTAGATTTGTGGTTTTGAGTTAAATGTCTCGACAACTACTGGATGGATTGCCGTCAAATTTGAGAGGGACATTACGCTCGCCTCTAGGTGATCCCTTAACTTTCCATCTTGTGCCGAAGACTTTGGTTTATGGCCAAATACTTGCTTAAGTAGCAGCATACATTTAGGAACTACCACAGCATGTCACTTTACTTTTATTCTGCTTTCTTTAAGTAAACACGTTGCATAAAAAAATAAATAAAAATGAGCTGAGGAATATAAAGGCACGTTGTGTTATTTCCAATTTTCAACACCAGCTGAACTGATATAGTGCTAGAACAATTAAAATATTGTTCCAAAGCAGAGCAGTTATATGCTGTGCCTGAAGTTAATTCTCACTTCTCCAGGTGTAGAAGAAGAGATGCACGAGCGCCTCAGCCGTGGAAAGGGTGGGTGAAGAACTAAGACGTGGGCTTCTATTCAAATATGAAGGTGTCCTTGACATTTCCTGCGCTGCATTGGCTGCTCATCCTTGTCGCATCCCCCCCCCCCCCCCCGAGCAGCATATAGGGCAGAGCGACCTGTTGACATTTACAATCTCATCTGGCTGAGAGCGATGGCATTCTATAAAGAGGAACACCGCCACGTGTCCTGCAATTGTTCAGTGTCGAACGAGAACACGTTATTGCTTTAATAGAAATAGAAGTCAACCTTTTGAGAGAGCCTTTGTTGTCTTACTCTTCCCTTTACACAGCTTAGAGACTTCATCAGAAGCTCTGGGTAGGCTTCATAAACTGGATGAGGTTTTATCACTCAAGTCTTTTGGACTGCCACAGCAACCACCAGAGGGAGCCTACAGCTCAAATGTAAGTAAAAGGTTAAAGTCTGCCCATGCCATACCAGTAAGGCTCTGGATGGCGGCCAAGAACCGTGTGGCACTTAACTCACCCGCAGTTGGTCACAGCAGGACAAGGTGAAATGAGGTGAAAGCCCATATAGTAACAGCAAAGCATGACATGATTGTAAACAGAGTGTGGAGGGTGTTCTGGGTGGCAACGCAAATCGTGTATTTAGAGTAAATATAAACTTTTAAAGTGACAAAACAAACTAAAACATGACGGAAGCTCAAGGACATGGAAAGAAAAGTGCCCAAAAAATGGAGTCAGGATGAATGAAACGGGCTCTTTTCTCTGAATGGAGGAGAAAAGACTCCTTCACTTTATTGAAAACCATTGAAAATAAGTGACATGTTCTATAAATGCCAATTGGATGCAATGAGGAAACTTAAATATGATTCAACTGTGCGGTGTTTAGCCTCTGCATCCCTTGGTCTCCCAAAGGAAGCTCCAAAACAGGGCTGTGCGGATCAGCTCTTCTTTGTGCTTTTGGTCCAGAAGATGGGATCTTTAGAAATCAGGGCCATTCTTCTTCAGCTTGCTGTAGTCCACGTTAACTGCGTAGAACTGAAAATACAAATCTCAGCTCAAGAACAAACACGTGACATGAAAATGCCCTGGCAACAAAGGTGAATAATAAAATCTAAGGTTAGATACTTGTTCCTGAATACATCAGCATTCTTGTCGTCTCTAGAAAACTCCTATGATTACTTTTGAATAAGTGTGTGGAGTTAATGACTTCATCCGATTTGTTTCTACAAGTCAACGTTATCCAGATTATGCCATTTGATTAATCCAACATAATGAATAATCCATGGCTCAGCCACACGTCTGGCAAAGATCCATACAATGATCCCTGATTACAACAGCCTTCAGCACAGAGAACCAACACTGCAACACAGCACGATTATTAAGATTCCCCGAGAGGAGACGGAGGCACACCTTGTACTGATCAGTCGGGGCCATCTTGTTCCAGGGCTCTGGGTTGTTCTTGCGATCCCAGCTGCAAGAGGAGAATCAGATACACATTGTGAAAGATTAATCAGGAGGGACTGTAACTAGATACTTGTGGGTGAGTAGCAACATATTTAGTTACATTAGCTGTCGGCCTCTCTACCTTTTTTCTCATCTGCAAATCTCAACGACATGAATGTAAATGACATGTGTACAACCCCATTCCAAACCCCTCATTTGCCAAAAATAATAAAATACACAAGAAGTCTCTCGTGTCACAACTTGGCGTTAAGTCCTTACCACACATCAGGGTTTCTCAAGGCCAGACGAGCCAGGTACATCAGGGACATGGCTGTCCCTCCACTGATGAAGAACAAAAGGGGGATCAGCTGTAGGAGACAAGACAGGAAGATAAGAAACCTTCACGAACAAAAAGGCTAAATGTCACAGCTCAAGAAAGAGCCGAGTAAACACACTGAGGCTGCTGGCAGCTTGTATAAACAGTAAACATTTCCCTGTACGACTAGTCAGAGGAAAAACGGCTTTAAATTAGACTGTTACCTGAAAAATATTAAACTTTAATGTGTTCACTCTGACTCAATTTCTTTGCCCTGACAGACGACAGCTGCCAAATATTGAGACACGATAGTTTAGTGTAATTACGTTACTTGTTATGTTTAAAACTATATTTCAGTCGCCACTTATTGACTCAAGTCAAATAAAATCTGTACATGAAAAGTATGTGAGGTTTCTAGTGAGAGTAAACATCTAGAAATGCTACCTGCTAACGCTACCTAGCCAGCTAACTAGTAGCATGTGGTGCTATTTGCAGACCCTCTGTTTAGCTAACCAACAGTTGCTATAGACTTCTGGACTCCAAAATATCTACCGACTAAAGTCCCGTCACTTGTTTACATAAGGAAACAGATTATTCCATGATTGCAACAGAAAACAATAAAAAAAGTGAAACTTCTTTTAATATTTAACATAACTTTCTCAAAGTCAGTGCGGTCAAAGTCAGAGTACTAGCTTAGCTAAAGCTAACTAGTTTAGCTAAAATAGGTTAGCAACACCAATCCAGATGACGATGATGGAATTTGAAAGTAACATCTAACACGAATCTTTATTGTATAGAACCGGGATGTACTCACAGCTGGGTGGTTTTTAAGCTGTTTACGCAGTACGGCGAGCATCTTTACCCCGTTAGCGAAGGTTGTACAGAAATAAACGGATTAAAACAAGCGTCGCCAACACGGTGCGCAATTTAATCTGCAAAATCGAGCAGGAAGAAAGGCGGACCCGCACGAATAGGATGCGAGAGATCGTGCCTGACTGATAGTAACGAAAACACATGATTATTAATTATTATATGTACCATGTAGAGCGTTTATGTCACAATGAATGTAATGAATATAGAGACATTTCGTAGGGTTTCATCAATATGCTGCTGTGTGGCTTCAGCTTTTATGTCCACACTACATTTTATTCTGGCAAATCTACGAAATGTTGATCATGTTGATGCTACAATCACTAATGTTCAACCCCAAAACAAATCTGTATTGAGCATATATTTTTCTCTCTAAAGAGCTGAAGTTTTGGCCTAAATGTATATAATGTATGTATTTAATCCTGTTTCACATAACGTCCTTGTGGCTAATGTTTAATCATTTTATTTACTAACTCTACCTTGTGCATTAGTTTAATTCTCTTCTGATGATTGAAATGCCAGCATTTAACAAACAAATAAATAAGTCTATTTAGTTAATGAATGTCAGTGACATGATGGCGATAACAGGAGACATCGCTCCTGTCTCTTGCATCAGTGTGAGGTGGACTGCCTGTGTCACAGAGTGACAGCAGGGGGCGCTGTTCATCTCCATCAGACGAGAAGGAAACTTTTCAAGAAAGTCGATTAGTTACAAAAATACAAAAGTTCTCAATATCAGCTGTCAGATCTTTTACTTTCGTAAAAGTAGTAATAACACAGTGTAAAAATAATCTTAGTCCTGCAATAAAAAAACTGTTTAAGAAAAAGCACATACACTTAAAGTCCCAATAGTAAAAGTAATATGCAAAATTAATTTCAGAATAATATATATTATATAACCGTATAATTGAATCAATAATAATTGATGCATTGTTATGTTTATCACTTTGATGTTTCAGCAGGTATAAAGGTGGAGCTAGTTTTAATGAATTGACATGCTGCTGGATAGCTTGATCTATAA